AAAAAAAAAAAAAAAAAAAAAAACCTGCGAGCACGCACACACAAATACACACCCCGCAGAATCTGATACGCGACATTAGATTCCAAAACTGCCCCAAAAATAGAAAAACGAACACGCATGTACAAATGATACCCCACAGACAAGCTGCATATTCCAAAAGAATAAAAAACATAAAAAAGAGCATGTGCCGCATGCATAGAGTGACGTACGCGCACACGTGGCACATGCCCGTTTGCGTATTGTGAAAAAAAAAAAAAAAAAAAAAAAAAAAAAACCAGAAAAGAAACCACACGTCCGGGATGCAGAAGAGAAATACGCGCGCACGCGATGCATGCACTCATTACGAAAAAAACAAAAAAACAAACAAACCACGTGCCGAATGCAGAAAGGGACGTACACGAGACATGCATGCATGCATGCATGCATATACGCTCGGGTGACGTACATGGACGAGAAAGCACCGTGCAGAAGACATGCACGATGAACGAGTAGCGGGGAAACTGTCCGACGTTCAGGCGACATGCACGGCTACTAACTAATCTGTTGTCTATGCTCTCCCACACCAACATGCGTGGCTTCAGCTTACTAGGAGCCCACGTGGATGAAGGGTGCACTTACGTACGTAACTCCTCATCGAGACAGATCATGACTTCGAGTCATGACGCGGGCGTTCCTCCGACTAGCCAACGTACATTATATGTGCTCAGTATATTACGTACTACGTCCTACCCGTCTTCACCGGAATACGACGTACGATCAATATTGCTGTACCTAGACTCGAAGTTGCCCCAAATACGTTATGATGACCGTACGTTGTATTCGGGTGAAGACGGGGGTAGACACGTCGGTGGTCGTTGGCCCCATGCTGGGGCCGACGCAATTTCGGCCAAACGGATAAGTTTTTGGTTGACTTCAACGTAAAACCAAAAAATACCAAGATAAAAAATATGAGAACCTTAGGAGCTACCCATTTTATAACGAAAAATAAATAAAAATGCAGTTAATACACTCGTGCCTTCTGTTGGGGAAGATGGGGTCGATCACCAATGGGGCCCTAGCTCGGTTGGTACACCCATGAACTGTTGAAACACACTGACCTGAGTTCGGATCCCGATGCAATAAAATGTGGACAGAATATTACTAATGTAATTCTGAATTACCTGGAGCCGGTCAGCTCAACACGACGATATCTCAAGGTCTTCGCCCTTTCAAAAAAAAAAAAAAAAAAACAGATGGGGTCAAGGGGTCCACCAACTCACCGAATCTGCTGGTACTTGTACTAATAGTACGACTGCTACCAAGACTTCGCGGCCGCGGATGCAACTCAGCTCGAAAGTCAGAAAGCCATGGTCGAAGCTGAGCGGGATCTCCACGTGGCTCTCCACGTGGCTCGCCACGTGGTAAATCCCCGCCTTGATGTATAGCCTGAGGGGCCTGCCCTCTCACCCCAGACACGGAACCTCCTCGCGCACTCCCAGCGGCACAAGCGTGCCAGTGATCGATACCGCTACCGATCCCGACTTGAAGGTGGTATCTAACGACTCCAAGGTGGTGTTTTCTAAATTGCGCAATATACCTCCATCGGGCGCGTACTACTAGTAGATTTGCGACCACGTGCGTTGCATCACACTTATCCAACGTATGCAAGCGCCACGTGGCAAATCCCGTGGACCTCCAACCGCTTCGGCTCGCCAAGCCGATCGCCTTGGAAGTGCCGCGAGCCGCCCTCATCACAACGAATCGCGCTCTTTCCCCCCCACCTCCTCCTCCTCCTCCTCCTCCTCCGCCTCCGCCTCCTTCTCCTTGTGCTCGCTCCCTCCCAGTCCCGCCAGTCCATCGCCTCCTCAGGAACGATGCATTCGGGACCTTCTGACACACGCAGTGCCGCTTTCTCCACCCCCTCACTGCCAGTCCTGCTCTTGAGACATCCGCAGCAACCCTTCCTCCGGTACATTCATACTGTAGACGACGCATCTCCCCCAAACACGCCCCTGTATATCCACTCATGCCCTGCACAATACCCGTCGCCATTTCTCTCTCTCTCTCTCTCTCTCTCTCTCTCTCTCTCTCTCTCTCTCTCTCTCTCTCTCTCTCTCTCTCTGTGTGTGTGTGT